GGTCTTGCAATTAACTGTTTCTGTTCCTCCTGCATTTGATCTTCTAAAATGCATGACCTCACACTTGTCCAGATTAAACTCCATAAGCGATTTCTGCACCCAATTTTACAACCGATCTATATCCTGCTGTATCCTTTGATAACATTCCTTACTATCCATAATTCCACCAACTTTTGTGCAATCTGCAAACTTACTAATCAGACGATCTCCATTTTCATCTAAGTCATGTATAAAAATATTGTAAACAACAGGGATCCTTGTGGAACGTCACTGGTCATAGACCTCCGGTCAGAAAAACACCTCTCCATGTTTGCCTTCTGTCTCCTTTGACCAAGCCAAGATTTTATTCAATTTACCTACTTACTACGGATCTAATGCAACTTAATCTTCTGGAACAGCCTACCATCAGGGACCTTGTCAAATTCTTTAGTAAAGTCCATGTAAACAACATCTACTGTCCTACCCTCATAAACCATTGTTACTTCCTCAAAAAATTCAACCAAGTTTGTGAGACAAGTCCTCCCCCTCCATAAAGCCATGCTGACTATCCCTAATAAGGCCACTCTTTTCCAAATATGAGTAAATCCGGTCCCTAAGAATCTTCTAAAGTAATTTCCCTACTACTGACATATAGTTCACCATCCTATAATTTCCTGGATTATCCTTGTAGCCCTTCTTAAACAAGGAACAACATTGGCTATTCTCCAGTCTTCTCAGACTTTGCCTGTGGCTAAAGAGGATACAAAAATCTCTGTCAATGCCCCAGCAATCTCCTCTGTTGTCTCCATCAGTATCCTGGGATAGATCCCATTAGGCCCTTGCCACTTATCTACCCTAATGTTTTTCAAGACATCTGAGACCTCCTCCTTCTTAATATTGACATGCTCCAGAATATCAACGTATCCATTCCTAATCTTACCATGATCTATGTCCTTCTCATTAGTGAATACCGATGCAAAATTCTCATTAAGGACCTCACCCATTTCCTCTAGCTCCTCCTTTGTCCTTGAGTGGATCTTGCCATTCCCTAGTTACCCTCTGGCTCCTAATATATGTACAAAATAACTTAGGATTCTTTTTCATCTTACTTGCCAAGGACATTTTGTGGCCCATTTTAGGCCTACTAATTCCTTGCTGAGGTTCTATCCTGCTTCTTCTATTGTCTGATTTCAGTTTCCTAAACTTTACATATGTTTCTCTTTCCTTTTTGACTACACTTTCAATATCTCTTGTCATTCCCGAATCTTGCAATTTTTACTTTTCATCTCACAGGAATGTGCTGGTCCTGAATAAAAACTGAAAGAACTGCGGATGCTGTAAATCAGGAACAAAAACAAAGTTGCTGGAAAAGCCCAGCAGGTCTAGCAGCATCTGTGAAGGAAAAAACAGATTTAACCTTTCGCGTCCAGTGACCCTTCCATTAGAACTCAGAACTGTTCTGAGGAACTCAGTCCTGAGTCCTGAGTTCTGAGGAAGGGTCACTGGACCCTAAGCATTAACTCTATTTTTTCCTTCACAGATGCTGCCAGACCTGCTGAGCTTTTCCAGCAACTTTGTTTTTATGCTGGTCCTGAACGCTGATCAATTGGCCTTTAAAAGACTCCCACATGTCAGATATGGATTCATCTTCAGACACCTGTCCCAATCTAATTTCTCCAGTTCCTGAACAGTACTAATGTAATCAGCCTTCTTCCAATTTAGCACTTTCACCAAGGACAAATCTTAGCCTTATTCAATAACTATCTTAACACTTACTGAATTATGATTGCTGTTCCCAAAATCCTCCCCTACTGAAACTTTGATCACCTGGCCAGGCTCATTCCCTAATACAAGGTCTAGTATGGCCCCTTCTCCAGCTGGACTATTTACATATTGTTTCAAGAAACCCTCCTAGATGCACCTAACAATTTCTGCCCCATCTAAGCCCCCAGTACTAAGGGATTCCTGTCAGTGTAGGGGAAATTAAAATCATCCACTTCAATAAACCTGTTGCTTTTACATCTTTGATAACAAGGTGTAGAGCTGGATGAACACAGCAGGCCAAGCAGCATCAGAGGAGC